CTCCTTCTTTTCCTTCGGAATGATCATATCATCCTTGCCGAAGGAAATGCCTGCTCTGGCTGCATGGCGGAAACCGAGAGCCATCAGTCGATCGCAGAAGATCACGGCCTCTTTCTGACCGCAATGACGATAAACAGCATCGATAACGTCAGAAACGTTCTTTTTGGTCAGCTGACGATTGATCAGAGACAGCGGAATTGCCGGGTGATTCGGCAGAATCTGCGCGACCAGCATGCGTCCCGGTGTGGTGATGATCGTGTGAGAGGTCTGTTTTCCCTCTGCATCAACAGTGACATGACGTGCGCGGATCTTATCATGCAGCTTCACGACACCGGCCGTGAGAGCGCACTCGATCTCGCCGACGGAACCGAAGGCAGACGGACCTTCCTTCAGAATCTTACCTGTCGCAGCGTCATATTCAGCCTTATCCGCCGCCGCATTGAATTCCGGCGTCTCAAGGCTGAGATAATAAAGACCAAGAACAATGTCCTGAGACGGCACGATGATCGGCTTACCATTCGCCGGGCTGAGGATGTTGTTAGTGGACATCATCAGCACACGGGCTTCCAGCTGGGCTTCCAGCGAAAGCGGCACGTGAACAGCCATCTGGTCGCCATCGAAGTCCGCGTTGAATGCGGTGCAGACCAGCGGGTGAAGCTGAATCGCCTTGCCTTCAACCAGAATGGGCTCGAATGCCTGAATACCAAGACGATGAAGTGTCGGTGCACGGTTGAGCATCACGGGATGTTCGCGGATGACCTCCTCGAGGATATCCCAGACTTCCGGACGCTCTTTCTCCACCATACGCTTTGCAGCCTTGATGGTGGTCGCGTGACCATATTTTTCCAACTTGGAATAAATGAACGGCTTGAAAAGCTCCAGCGCCATCTTTTTCGGCAGACCGCACTGGTGCAGCTTCAGTTCCGGACCAACGACGATGACCGAACGACCAGAGTAATCAACGCGCTTGCCCAGCAGGTTCTGACGGAAACGCCCCTGCTTGCCTTTCAGCATGTCAGACAGCGACTTCAGAGGACGCTTGTTTGCACCCGTGATCGCACGTCCACGACGACCATTGTCGAACAGGGCGTCAACCGCCTCCTGCAGCATGCGCTTTTCATTGCGGACGATAATGTCCGGCGCACGCAGCTCCATCAGCCGCTTCAGTCGATTGTTACGGTTGATGACACGGCGGTAGAGATCGTTCAGGTCTGACGTCGCGAAACGTCCACCATCTAGCGGAACAAGAGGACGCAGTTCAGGCGGAATAACCGGAACAATGTCCAGAATCATCCATTCCGGGCGGCAACCGCTTTCGGCAAAAGCCTCAATCAGTTTCAGACGCTTGACCAGCTTCTTCCGCTTAGCTTCCGAATTGGTCTCTTTCAGTTCCTGACGCAGACGGACTTTTTCTTCGTCACAGTCAATGCGCTCAAGAACCTTCTTAATCGCTTCCGCACCAATGCCGATTTCAACGCCGTCTTCAGCATATTCATCGAGAACATCAAGATACTGGTCTTCACTCAGAAGGCTGTACTGCTTCAGTGGTGACGTGCCCGGCTCAAGAACGACATAGTTCTCGAAGTAAAGGATCTTTTCGAGATCCTTCAGGGTCAGATCGACCATCAGGCCAATACGGCTGGGAAGAGATTTCAGGAACCAGATATGGGCAACCGGGCTGGCCAGCTGGATGTGGCCCATACGCTCACGGCGCACCTTGGCGAGCGTAACCTCAACGCTACATTTTTCGCAGATAATACCGCGGAATTTCATCCGCTTGTATTTGCCGCACAGGCACTCATAATCCTTGATCGGACCAAAAATGCGCGCGCAGAAAAGCCCATCACGTTCCGGCTTGAACGTACGATAGTTAATCGTCTCGGGCTTTTTGATTTCACCATACGACCAGGAACGGATCTGCTCGCTGGAAGCGAGCTGAATCCGGATCTGATCGAAGGTTGCGGCCTGGCCTGTCTGGCCGAGGATTTTCATGAGTTCATTCATGTGCCGAAAACCTCCGAGACCGTAAAGCTACAGGTGCCGCCCCCACCTGGCGGAAGAAAAACACTTCCGCGTTCCGGTCTGTTAAAACCATTCAGGCAATAAACGGCTGCATACGTGATTTCCGTATGCAGCCGGTCAGATGCGGAGCGAAGCTCCGCCGAAATATCACTCGCCGCCATTTTCCAGATCGACGTTAAGGCCCAGCGATTTGAGTTCCTTGATGAGAACGTTGAAGCTCTCTGGAATGCCGGCCTCAAAATCTTCCTGTTCACGGACGATCGCTTCATAGACTTTTGTTCTACCCGATACGTCATCGGATTTAACAGTCAACATTTCCTGCAGGGTGTAAGCCGCACCATAAGCTTCCAGAGCCCAGACTTCCATTTCTCCGAAACGCTGTCCACCGAACTGGGCCTTACCGCCCAGAGGCTGCTGCGTAACGAGAGAATACGGACCAATTGAACGTGCGTGAATCTTGTCATCAACAAGGTGATGCAGTTTCAGCATGTAGATGTAGCCAACGGTCGTCTTGCGTTCGAAAGCCTCACCAGTACGGCCATCAATCAGCTGGGACTGGCCAGATTTATCGACTCCGGCTTTCTGAAGCATCGCTTCGATATCCGGAATGGATGCACCATCGAACACTGGTGTTGCAATCGGCACGCCTTTGCGCAGATTACCACACAGCTCAACAAGTTCGTTGTTCGTCATATCGACGATCGACGAATTGTAGACGCTCTCGCCGTAGACATCCTTCAGTTCGTCCAGAAGCTCCTGCTTCTTCTCGCCGGTGCGCTGATATTCATCAACCAGCTCCCCAATACCGTTACCGATCCGCGCACAGGCCCAGCCAAGGTGCGTTTCAAGGATCTGTCCGACATTCATACGGGAAGGCACGCCCAGCGGATTCAGCACCAGATCAACCGGCGTTCCATCCTCAAGGAAAGGCATGTCTTCCACAGGAACAACGCGGGATACGACACCCTTGTTGCCGTGACGACCGGCCATTTTATCTCCAGGCTGAAGCTTGCGCTTCACTGCCACGAAGACCTTGACCATCTTCATCACGCCAGGCGGCAGCTCATCACCGCGCTGAAGCTTTTCAACCTTACTGTCAAAACGCGCCTGAATCTTGCCAACAGAAGCGTCAAATTCACGACGCAGCGTCTCAAGCTCAGCCATCACTTCGTCAGAAGCAACAACGATATTACGCCATGCACCTTTGGGATGCTCGGCCAGCACTTCTTCGGTAATGTCCGTGCCCGAACGAATACCCTTGAAGCCTGCACCAGCAACCTGGCCAATCAGACGCTCACGCAGACGGTTATAGAAGGAACGCTCCTGAATCGCGCGTTCATCGTCGCGATCTTTCGCCAGACGCTCGATCTCAGCGCGCTCGATCGCCATCGCACGTTCGTCTTTGTCAACACCACGACGGGAGAAGACGCGAACATCAACGATCGTGCCCGTCGTTCCCGGCGGCAGACGCAGGGACGTGTCACGAACGTCAGAAGCCTTTTCACCAAAAATGGCGCGAAGAAGTTTTTCTTCCGGCGTCATCGGGCTTTCACCCTTTGGTGTCACCTTACCAATCAGGATATCGCCAGGGTTAACTTCGGCACCGACATAGACAATACCGGCTTCGTCGAGGTTGCGCAGGGCTTCCTCGCCGACATTCGGAATGTCACGGGTAATTTCTTCCTGACCCAGCTTCGTGTCTCGAGCCATGACTTCGAATTCTTCGATATGAATCGAAGTGAAGACGTCATCACGCGCAATACGCTCTGAGATCAGAATTGAATCTTCGAAGTTGTAACCGTTCCAGGGCATGAACGCGACAAGCACGTTACGGCCAAGCGCCAGTTCACCCAACTCTGTGGACGGACCGTCAGCAATAATATCGCCGGCAGCAACGCGATCACCTACACGAACCAGAGGCCGCTGGTTGATACAGGTCGACTGGTTGGAACGTGAGTATTTACGCAGACGGTAAATATCCACACCCTGCGTCGCACCGCTTTCATCCGTCACACCGACAACGATACGCGCACCATCAATCTGGTCGATGATACCAGCGCGGCGTGCAACGATCGTCGCACCGGAATCATGTGCAACCGCAGCTTCCATGCCCGTGCCGACCAACGGCGCATCAGAACGCACCAGTGGCACAGCCTGACGCTGCATGTTTGAACCCATAAGGGCGCGGTTCGCGTCGTCGTTCTCAAGGAACGGGATCAATGCAGCAGCCACAGACACAAGCTGCTTCGGCGAAACGTCACAAGCCGTCACTTCAGTCGGCGGCACAAGACGGAAGTCACCATTCTTACGAACGGAAACCAGCTCATCCGTCAGAGCACCTTCCGCATTCTGGGAAGCATCCGCCTGAGCAACGACCAGCTTCTCTTCTTCCATGGCTGAAAGATACTTCCAGCCATCCTGAAGAACGCCATCTTTCACAAGGCGATAAGGGGTTTCGATGAAACCGTACTTGTTCACCTTGGCATAGGTCGCCAGTGAGTTGATCAGACCAATATTCGGGCCTTCAGGCGTCTCAATCGGGCAGATACGACCATAATGTGTCGGATGAACGTCACGCACTTCGAAGCCAGCGCGTTCGCGTGTCAGACCACCCGGACCAAGCGCTGAAAGACGACGCTTATGCGTCACTTCCGAAAGCGGATTCGTCTGATCCATGAACTGGCTGAGCTGTGATGAACCGAAGAATTCACGAACAGCAGCAGCAGCCGGTTTCGCGTTGATCAGGTCATGCGGCATGACGGTATCGATATCGACCGATCCCATACGCTCGCGGATCGCACGCTCCATACGCAGCAGCCCAAGGCGATACTGATTTTCCATCAGTTCACCGACTGAACGCACGCGACGGTTACCAAGGTTGTCAATATCGTCGATCTGACCACGCCCATCTTTCAGGTCACACATGACCTTGACTGTGCGCAGAATGTCTTCCTTGCGGAGAACACGCACTGTGTCCGGACAATCCAGACCCAGACGCATGTTCATCTTCACGCGACCGACAGACGACAGATCATAACGATCCGGATCGAAGAACAGACCACGGAACATCGCCTCTGCCGTTTCAGCAGTCGGCGGCTCACCCGGGCGCATAACGCGATAGATATCGATCAGCGCTTCATCGCGGCTGGCGTTCTTGTCGACCGTCAGCGTGTTACGAATCCACGGACCATTGGACGAATCGACTGCAAGTGTCGGGAGTTCCGTCAGGCCGGCATCTTCCAGACCACGCAGACGCGCTTCTGTCAGTTCCTCACCAGCCTCGGCATAAATCTCGCCGGTTTCCATATTGACCAGATCATGGGCAACGAAACGTCCGAGCAGATCCGCATCCGTTGCGAGAACAACCTTTGTTGTCTCAGCAATCTTGCGGACCATACGAGCGGTCAGCTTGGTGTCGGCATCCGCAATGACTTCACCGGAATCCGCATCAACGAGCGGTGCCAGAAGCTTCTGACCACGGAAAGCATCCGGGTCGAACTTACGTGCCCAGCCCTGATTCGAGCGGTTGAACGTGACGGTTCCATAAAAATAACCGAAAATCTCATCGGCATCCATGCCGCGGATTTCCATCGAATCAACATCTCCGCCAGCCTCTGCCCGTGCACGGGGCGGAGCCGGCGTAGTGAAGCTCCTTTGAAGTTCTGCGGAAATAAAACTGATGTTCCCATAAGCACATGGTGTTGTAGCATTCGCGAGTAGCACTTTCTTGCACAACGAAGATTCGTATCCCGCCCAAGGACAAAGTCACCGGAGAATATTTGATGCCTTGTGTGCCTCAATATTTTGTTCTATTAGTTCTTGTATTCGCACCACGCACTACTGAGAGTGAATCTCCGGTATTCAAGCAGCTCGCTCGTGTACAAGAACGTACTCTGTCATCGACTACGCTCTCGGCGCGACTCATTTTTGGACATAGGTAACTCTAAGAGCGACCAGGTGCTGACCCCCAAAACTACATAAACTTAAAATATCGAAAAATATACAGCGCGCGAATTTTAAATGAGAATTTCCGAAAGCTTTTCGGTCACAATGTACTTCTACTAAAATGTAGTGAAATGTTAATAAATCCAATCCAAATATAAACATAGTGTAGTTGGTTGATTGGTGGACTAGCAGGTCAGTTTTCCTCATTTTGCCACCCCAATTATCGCAAGAAACATTCAAATAAAAAAAAAACAAAAAATAAATACATCCCGTGGAATTAAGTTCATTTAATAGATCTTTCGTCCGATGAGCAATCTGATACTGTCATAAAAGTGCTTTACTAAAAACCTCTTTTTTCTGAAGATCAGACCTGAGCATTCGCAGAAGAAATACTTAATTATTTTTTTTTTTGCAGCAAGTTACTATAACTTCTACAATAAGTACTAAAAGGAATGCACAGTTTCTTTGAGTGGGTCCCTATACATCAGTGACCAGAGACAATTATTGTAAGCCTTGTAGCAGTCATGCGGTCATTTTTATTGAGTTCCCAAAATCAGGGCTTGTTATAAAGTGTGAATACAAATACTAATTGAGGTTCTTTATCTTTATTCACAAGTAATTACAAGTAAAATAAATACATAAGTAAAAAAGTCGATAAATATCTGGAATTATTTTTAGTATTGTTAAACTTTCTGGACGCCTACTACATTGTACATCTTAAATGCTTGTATGCACACGTTTAAACTCTAAGACCCATCGATACACAATTGGAAATGAAAGAACGAATTGCTTTATTAAATTCATTATTTTTGTATTAATTTCTGCTATTGATAAGCTTTCTAAAACAAAGAACTTTATCACTGCGCAATATTAGGTTTTTTCCATTGTTACAAAATCCCCAATACGTCAGCTTTTAAATAGGTTACAAAAAAAGACTGATGTGACAGATCGAAATAAAAATCTGAATATGCTCGACTTGTAATAAATCAGAAATATCTGTAAGTTTATCAAAGCTATATTCAAGCCTCTATATATTTCACTTACTCAGATGCGTACTCATGTCTAGTCAACATAAATACCTTAGAAGTACTTCTTCCACAAGGGAAAAGCGGATCTACCTTGATACCTTCTACTTCTCTTTTTGTAGTAGGTAGTTCATACCCCATAGAAAAGAGAAGAGATTCTAGTGTAGAATAAATCCAAAAAAAAATATAGTGAAAAGATGAAAGCATACCCAGAGAACTGGTAAATGAAGTCATAAGTGATTAAAGTTATCAAAGCAAAGAAATTATATTGAGAAAGGAATAACAGAAACTACCATAGACTACTAAATACAGCACCTACCAAAATGCTATAAAGAAATAGAGTGCTGGACACACATAATAAACCAAAAAAGCATAGTTTAAAATGCCATTATAAGAGAGCCCATCCACGAAGTAATGTCTGTGAAAAATAAATCTCTTCGAAGACTTATTTTTCGAAGAGACTTATGTTAGGGAATCGTGCACATCAATCGGATGACGATCGGTATCACGGTATATAAAACATTTCACTGTCTGACACAAACACAAAAAAAATTATTTGCATACATTTTAATAAAAAGTATTATTGACTTTAATCTCACTCGAAAGTATAGCAATTGATAAACTAATTGGGCGTTTTGTCTTAATGGAAGAACCTTAAGATAGACTTTGCTGAAAACGATACTTTTGGGAAATGTAATAAGGACCCGACTTCGATTCCTGGTACTTGCAGCTTTAAAAAAAGTTATTTATGAATAAATAAATACAATACTTATTTCAAAGATCATTGATGATAAGTATTTAGCATTACTCGAAACAGCTATATTAGCCAAAAATTCTATTAATTAAAATAATATAAAATGAATTTTTGTTGTTATAGTTCACTACTATTCGAAAAACCTCTTTATGAAATGTAATAAGGAAAAGTTTGAAACACAAGTTAAGCGCATACCGGACCTTATCAAAGATAACACATGACGGTGTCGTACGTATAATTAGAGTCTTAGTGTTGATATGGGCTTCAACACTCGCCTTTTAAATTTCTTTAAACCTATCTTTCTAATTGAGAGAATTTACCTATTTTGTTTCAGGTCCTCCATTTTATGGAGATTATACATCTGTTTATCCAACAAGTAATTGTCAGTAAACATTGGTACAAATCTAATCACAAAAAAAAGTAATAAATAAATTAACACAAGTCATGAAGTTATGTTTAATTTAATAAACATTAATTATGACGTGTTCATGAGTATATAAATTTGCTAAAGTTTATACAAATATCATTTTTGAAATGTTTGTGCTACTTTTGCTTTTGTTAATACTGGTAATGAAAATTAATAATCAAATAAATAGTCACTAGGTCAGGGATGTTAAAAATATTTTTTCATAAAAAAATTTAAGGTTGTTAAGTACAAATATACTGATGGGGAATGTTCTTGGTGGGTATATTTAAATACAGTGATAAATAAAATTATTATTAAAAAAAAATAGTTATAGTATAAATTATTTACTCTATTGTTTATCAAAATATGCCGAAGAACTCATCTGCTTCGCTTTATTTCTATAAAAAAATGCATAAATTTATATATTAATTTTTCTTTTGTTTTCATTGTAGTTTAAGAAAACAAAGTAATTTACCACCGAATCTGACCTAAATCATTTCTTCAAAATTATCTTCACTAAATTTATTTTTATTATTTTCACTTTTTTCTGCTTCTTTTTATGCTTCTTTAAAAGTGCGTTGACTTTCGATTTCATCAGCGAAAGTGTTGTCGCACGTGTTTTTTTCGTGCCCGCGCGTCGAACAGTTGCATTTCTTCGGTACGTAAAGCTTGTTGTGGAGTAAGTGCGCGCAGCTTAAGCCAGGTTTTGTTGCTTCATATATTTAGTGGGTCAACCATAAACTTATAACATCAACTTTTTACATGCCTAATTATACGTGGTACATTCGCATTAAAGAAATCGCTCTTACGCATTCATACGCCTTGTGTCGCGTAAGATAAAATAATGAAAATAAAAATTTAATTAATTTTTAATTACACTTTTTCGCAGTTAAACAAATCGTCAAGAAAAACATATAATTACGGTTAATTTGAGAGTTTAATTTAATTAATCAAAATGTCCTAAGTCTCTGTAGTTATTAGCATATTTGAATTTTGATATCTCATATTAGGTTAAGTTAGGTTCAGAAAGCGCGTGCTGACAGTTGTCAGCACTTCCATTCGGAGGCATATATTGCGTATTGTGATGGCCTCAAAAATTTTGCCGTGAGAGGTGAGTTGTTAACCTTTGTTATCCTTGTTAAACCATTCGGTTTCCCAGATAAAGTTGAGGAGATCTGATAATTTTGCTTTCGATATCTCTTCCAAGCCAGTGAAAAAGTGACCCCAAGACATTGAAGTCTTTTTATCTGCAGTCCTGGACAGAGACATAGAAAGTGGCTGATAGATTCTCGTCATCTTGGCAACTCCTGCATAATCCACTTGTTGGAACTCGCCACAGTTAGAGTATAGGCACAGTGCCCCATTAATACTCCAGTAAGTATACGAACGGAAGTTTTGCTGAAGTTTAAAAGGCTTTTCGCTTTATTTTTGTCCAAACTAGACCATTCACATATCGGTTTTTGTATTGAGAGGTCGGTCTCTCTTGTATACAGTTCAGAACCTCATCTGCGAGTTCATTCCTTTCAATATTGCTGTGTCTCATATTACTTCTGGGAAAAATTTTTCATATATTTTTTGAAATCTAGGTTAAGGGATATTTTTACCACATAATCCGACATAATTGAAAGATGACAATTCACGCCACATTTTTTAAATATAGGTAGTTGCAGAAATTTTGATATCAAGGATGCATATCGTTATGATCGGTCAGTCACTAAAAAAGATGATAAAATTTAGGAACTGATGAAGCATGCTAAAAATTAATTAATAAGGGAGACGCTTATTATAAACCAGATTATAATAATGTTAATATTTTTAAGTATTTTGCTAGCGTTTTTGTACACTTTGTATACTTTATATAATTTGTAAAAGTGTCGTCGTTTATGAGTCGCTTTCAGCATAAGAAACTGTGGAAACTTTCTTTATATAAATGGCTAGATTTGAATCTAAGTCTATAGGCTCATCACGGCTTTTCAATTTTTATTTTAATTAATTTTTATTTTTATTTAAAGAATTTTATTTAACGAAAGTCCCTATCTGCGCAAAATCCCCATTATTCTATTAAAATCACTCTATTCAATTAATTGGATCAGAAATTGGCTTGATTGGATTAAATTAGATTAAAAGAAGTTATGACAGGCTTCCAGTTGCTTCATATTGTACGACTATGAGTCAATTATAGAAGAATCCTTGACAAAATATCATACGCTTTATCATGACATGTTATCAATGAAATACTGATTTGGTTTTATTCCCTAGATTGCTTTATTAGGTTGTAGGTATAAGAAACCTTTTGTCGCTTTACTGTTTGAATTTCTCCAGTATTCGTCCCATAGAAGCTGTTTATTAAAGGTAATTTTAAGATAAACAGCATCATTGAATATGAAATTTCCTTGAAGAGCAATATCTTTAGAAGAAATTTTCCTTATATTTAAAAATGGAATAT